TGAAGTTCTGTGAAGCAGCTATATGATTACACATGTAATAACAGGACCATTCTGCTTTTCATTGTCAAGCACGTGAGGGGTTTTATTCACTATACGCCGATCATTATTATTGAAGCGTGAATGTTGGAACATAAAACTAGTGTTAACTGCTTCAACGGCTGGTAAGGAAACAGGAGATGGTTCTCCGGATAGCAGCTAATAATAATTGGAATGGAAAGAAGTCCACGTTCTGTTTCTGAAGGGCATATCCTTCCAACATAGCCCAAAGCTCCCCGTTTCTTATCTGTAGCAAGATATATATAAGTTAACGATTTGTACACAGGTTTTTTTTAATGACTGTTCTCGTGGAATCTTTACCAATTCCCTTGCCTCGAATGAAAAAGCGATGTCTTCCAACCTTAATGTGATATAGAAACAATTATGTGCAGTCAATATCATGATCTTTGAAACAGAAAGGATTAGTTTATCTTATCACATTAGTGACTGGTACTTGTTGGCAATGCCAAGCTTAGGAGGTGTAAATATACGTCGCTTGTCCTGACATTCGAAGCGAGTTCATTGATTCCATGTCTCCGATTCGTGCGAGAAATAAACGTCTGTGATTTATCCGTCCAAGACTCGTACAGATATATATCTACGTTGTCGGATGTGTGTGTGTGTTACAAATACCTATACTGTAGTGACAGCGGATAGTGTCTCTGGTACAATAAGGACTCTGACGCCTAGAAAGTCACTTGATGAGGAAGAAGTAGGTATACGGAGACTTGTACCAAGAGTGTATGTGGAAGAGAGAACCCAGATGTGATATTTGCATATCTGGTCGTGGTGTTTTAGGACTGTATGAGATATCGTGTCGATGTGAACTTCTAGGATTTTTAATGGAATTGGTTCTTAACCCGTTTCAAATGAACTTGGATAATTTGTTTGGGGATTTTCCCCGGCTTATCTGTCGGATTTTATCAGAAACAATATTCAATTGACATTACCGGACACATCTGTCTTTGGCCAAACGCTTAAAAACGACCAAAGAATGTAAAGCACGTGCGGGCGTCCGCGAACGCTAGTTATCCTAATGGGATGTTCGTATAAAAAATGTGAAAATTGCATCAAAATGCATATGCCATTACGTACACATTTTAATGGGTTGTGTCTGATTGGGAAAATTGGATTTGGTAAAGAGATAAAGATACCCAATCGGGAATACTTATGATTTGTTTGTGTGTGAAACGATAGGAATATAGGTAGGTCGATGGAGATCTTTTCTATATACATGTGTCTGGTTATCGAAGAGCCTCGGTGAAAGGACTTTGCTACATCACGTATAAGATACCACTGGTCTATCAGGTATTCGTTATCGTAAGACACCATTTACGCCATTGTTGAGTTGCGATCCTGTGATGGATGATCGGTCGTGGTCGTTTCAGCAATGACGGGCTTTATATATCCCTATCACAGACTGGATACAGCTAGCCTTAATTAAAACTTTGGTTGACCGTTATCAGCTAACCTGTACCGGGGTATACCCCACAGGTAGATGGTCCCCCATTGTATTGCGCATTCTCATATAGATGTACCTGAAGCAATATTGGGTCATAGTGTTTGATATATTGAGTCAATTTATGTGAATTGATAACAATTTTGGATTATTCAACGTTTAACTGAAGAATAAGGGAACTGTTTTGTGTTGATGCATCGTTGTATGGTATTCCTACCGCCTATCAAGGAGGAGGAGGAGAATTCACGGGATATGCAAACGGTTAGCATAGCAAGAGGTATAGTAAGCGAGTCGGTCGTTATCTTTTGCATGTGGTCCGTTTACAGTGGTGTAACCAATGATCTATTGGCGTAAGTAGAATGATAGTTCCTTGGCTATTTAGGAGTATTCTACATATCTGTAGGTCTATCGTCTGCCACGCCGTCTAATCGGCTGTATTGTCTGTTTCTATGGTGTCGTCTGCTCGTGGCGTCTGCCTCCTGTCAACACTAACACATGGAGTATACAAAAAGCAACCATTAGGACCTATAGTAACAGTGTTTTTATTCTTTGGACGTGGTAAATAGTGTTATTATTGGATGTGTAATAATGTAGTAATGATGCAAAATCAGTAAGACTTGGAAGGAAAGGTAAGTCATTTTAATCCATTTAAATACACATACCTTACAGAAGTAAAGCTCATTTCAGAAGACGTGTGTGCCATGTTTTCTCAAGAAATCAAGAATAATATATTTTCCGAATTAGACTTTCTTAAGATTTTACAACAACAAGCTGTTTCTAAGATACTGGTGTTCTGAACAAGATTTCCATATTATCGAAACACTTAAATAAAAAAAAAATTAATATGATGTTTATTTCGATTCCACTTAAATTAAATAAAGATTTCTGGTTCATTGAATCTCCGGTATGGTATTTGATAAGAACTATGCGAAAGGAAAAGTTGTATTCTACAAGACACGGAGAGATACACTAACGAATGTTATCGCCATTGGTATTGTACACTTAATCAATATGTTCCAAGGTTTTTTTTCCAATTTTGATTATTTCAGATGAGTTAAACCCACTTGTTATGTATTTATTCATGAATTTATGATGTTACGACTTTGCTGCGATATCATGAGGTACAATGTACCTAAAGTGAAAACAAATATATATTTTGATCGATCCATTTTCGCAATACCGGTTTCAGTTATCTGTTGCTAATACTTAAATGCGACAGGATACGATAAATATATCTCATGTATTTTAGATAGAATATGTCAAATATTGAGTTCTCAAATTTCGCCGGTTTCATGATCTTTGGAATGTTTGCATATGGTGTCGTAATCGGTCGTTAAGTGGCATTTTGATACATCTGTTGCTTATTATACATTCCATTTATATGCCATCAACTGATTTCCAGATAAGGGGATAAAAGTATTTGAGATAGCCTAATAGAATTAACAGAACAAACCTTTAAAAGCCGAACTTAATTATCTCGACGTCATACAATACATATAGCAAATTGGTCAATGAGCTAAATGCTGGCATTTGGGCAAATAATATGATTCAAAATTTCGAGATTTTAAAATTCGAGATTTCCGTATTCGTAACAAGAACGTTTGATAGTACGAATTTTGAGATATCCAAGAGTTTAATGTTGCGGGCAGCGCTATTGGATACATGTAGAACCATCATAAGATGACCTTTTGTGTCATAACGTGTAGTAAGTAGAGCCCTGTATCTAATTGTTACTCTCCATACTGACCGATGGTGTGGTCAGTTGGCCGTGGGGCTGTCACGACAGACATTGTCGCAGTAATTGGAACTCTCCTACATTGGAGGCCAATAACACATATGTCGTTAACGTCACTTAATTATGCCAGTTATTGAACACGATGTACCGTAGTCATGCACAAAAGATGTTCAGTATCTTTTTAGTAGTCGTTTTTCATAAATTATTTTTCAAAGTTTTGATATTTTGTCTTGTTTTGCATTACATTGTCTCAAAATATCGCCAACACCTTGTCAAGTGAGGGTTTTCTGATTATAATTACTATTGCCTATAATTCAGACTAATATCATATAGTGTGTTACATTGTTTTTCAACGAATGTAATTCTAGTATGCTGATATTCCCTCAATGTCCAGATTTCATTTTTTACAAAGGTACCTTCATCTTTGTTACACAACAAAATCATAGAAAGTAAACATTGAGACAAACACTTTGTCTTTCTTTTGCAAATTAATTTAATCTAACTCCAACTATTCTGCTCCAAAAGTGACATTTAATTTACATGTACCACTATAAATATGGTTATGGCGCCTTGCTCTAGCTAAAGCTCAAATAAGCATTGCTTTAATTTGCAGCTTAGTGCGTATAGGTAGCGTATTAAACAGCCATCTCTTTAAAAGCAGAAGCTAGTTGTAAGTGTTCCCTTGAGTGATAGACTCCTTATCAAAAGGCGTATGCTTCATTCCCATAAAGAGGTTTATCCTTTCGCTATTTCTGTAATAAGCATAGCTCTCAAATTCATGTATTAAAGACCATTTCACGCGCTCCTCGCATAATCTGCTTTTCCCAAGGGAACATTTCTGGGTAGATTCAACTGTATCTACATTGTATGGCTTACATTTTATGTTCCATTCTAAACGTTAATTTCTCTTTGTTTTGTCTGTAAATGTTTCTGTATCTCCGAAATTTGTCCTGATAGAAGTCGTACCTATCTTTGTTATCTTTATAATCTCCTATACACAGTTTCTTACATCAACGTTCGTTTGCGAGTTCCTTTCGGAACCCTTCAGATTTCAACAGGCTGTTTCTATCTCAGAAATGGTTAACATATTTCTTAGTTTTGACAAGCACTTGCAATACGTTCATTGTGCTACGTGTAAAAATATATTACTTTTCATTTTTTGTTGTGTTAAGCAATAACTGTCTTAAAAATGTCGGCCATCTTGGTACTATATTTAGAATTGATATCCTTGTGTTGTTCTACCAATGTGGTAGCTATACAATACACTGTCTAATCCGACACCCTTTGAAACACAACGTATCAGTCAAGCCAAGATGCAAGATACGCAGTTCTGATTGCGGGTAGTTTTCATAAGAGACTGTACCACAATTTTGAGTTGTTTAATTAGAAAGGATTTCAGAACAGGTTGGACTGGACAGATATCAATATACGCCTCTTTTCTTTCCTACATTTGTTGCTATCTCTTCAATCTTGTTTTGTGATATAAGCTACAGTCCTCTTTCTCGAGAAACGATGTACGTCCCTGTGGGGCTACATGCGTAGCGATGCGGTCTTATTCTATTAGGGTTGTAACAAGGGTTTCCAAGAATGTACATCATGATTTTATTACCTGGCTCATCTTTTACTTCAGGGTTTAATGCTTAAATACGTTTTCCTCTCAACAGTTTATGGTTAACCTTGTTTTCTCCTCAGCAATGCATGTTCTATTCGACAGCTCTTTTCCGCTATTTTTTCACCGGATAATGATCTTGAAAAGTCCCGGGTTTTATGTTGAACATGTTTCCTCTTCTCGGGGATAATGCTCTGCCTATTTTTTATTTTTTTTTAAGATTTTTTTTTATCGTTCGTTCTAGTTCAAGCAATGCCGCCTGCTTACTACATTGGACCATAAACTGTGGAGTATTAGGGTAATTGAAAAAGCCAAACTTTGCTTTTGATGAGAAAACAAATGAATTTTCTGGTCCAAAAACGTGCGTTACTACCCTTGTCATTGCGGTTTTATTTGACTTAATTTGAGATAGGACACAAATATTACGTAAAACGTTAGCAGGAAGTCCTCAGGAGACTTTGTAGGCATGACATTCAACCCTGTTGATACGGATTCGAGGACATGGAATACTCTTACTCACCCACATCACCTACCTTTGATTCCCACCTTATGAGTTTAACGAGTCCGATCCTGTATTCTATCATTAAAAACTGTCTTACTCATTTCTTGCAAAGCTTGCACATTCTTAATACGACCTAGTCTTTTAATGGGCTGTGTTGTCGAACAGACAAATGCTTTATTGATCCAGTGCGTGATCTCGGGCGGATGTCTCATTCTCGTACTCAACGTGAACTTGTCTTTATGATATAGTGTATATCGCCCTCTTATACAGGAGAGTTCTGGGTCACCTCCCCGTGTCTTCAGTGTTGAACATCATTGTCATCGTCCTAGATAGCGGAAATATGTTATTTTCTTGTCAAATGCTTCGTTTCATCTCAACAGGGTTTTACTACGAAATTGGTCCAACACTCTGAGGTCGTTTCAACATCTTAGCCTTTTAAGGTCGATATGTGGGTAGAGAGTGATATGACAACGGTAATTATCTTAATAAATCCTGTCTGATGAGCCCATTTTAAGTGTTTCATAGGTACGCGGTGGTCTAGTTGATGGAACACACTGACACAACAGATAATTACGCTCCACGAACACGTGACCTGCGTCTTGGGCAGTCTACAACCAACAATTATTATTGATTATCAAGTTTTGCGGTTTTAATTTCGGATTTTGTGTTTGAACGTCTGTACAGGAAATTTTACCTTTCTTATTTCCACGTGCAATTATATCAATATCAATTTAAGAAATCATGACAAAAATAAACTTCATTAAAAATGTACAACGTCTTTTATATAACTAGAAAAGGTTGTGATTTTGCATCATATCGTTTCTGTTTTGAAAAACGCTTTTGATTTGTTTTTATAGATCTGTTTTTCTTACACATTAACAGAATATTTAAACATTCATCAATCTAGTTTGTATAATGCAGGCTCCCCCTGCCACTTGTGGTCTGGGCTAATGATACACGTACTTTTAGAAATATCTGCCAGGTGAGTTTGCTAGACATACCGGATGAACATACCACCTGGTAAACTCCTAGATCTACTGTGCCTAATTAATATCTATAACAATGATATCAAGTTTGAAACGAACGCTCATAATAAGCATATGCTTCATGCAAATAGTCTTTATCGTCTGGCAAAAACTCAAAGACGAAGGGAACTGTACGCTGAGAGACACATTGATACGGACCAAATTGCTATCATATACTTTGTAAAATGAAATCTCACTTTCTGGACGCTATTGGAATAATTCTTTTATCCAAATATTTACGGAGCCAAAAATGTTCGGATTAATAACGTTGCATTTTACAGTATATATGGGATGTGGATCGCTATACGAACATACTTCGAGTTTTATGCCATCCTTTTGTCTTTTCTACAACTTGGAAAATATGTAAGTAACACTTCGCTTCATGTAGAAATTGCGAAAAATTACAATTCATGGTCGTGTTTTTCTAAGAAGACCAAATTGATTGACAAGATAAAGCTATTCTTTTGTTTATTAATAATATAATGACCTGCTTAATGGTATTTTTTCATGTTTTAAATGGTAGTTCGCCTATCTATGACCAACAAGCTTTCTTGTGAGAATAAGGTTGCTGTGATTTTTTTTAATTATGAATTCCGTGCTAAATGTTGACTGCTGACGGCAAAATTACAGCACAAGTTTTTCAAAAGGTACAGGCTGATGAATACTAAAGCAGAGGACGCTTACCCTTCAGGAACACCTCGTCTCTTTTCTTGTACTTTTTCAGTAGTCTCCGTGTACATCTTTTCTGTGTCGCAGGTGATTCGGTACTCAAGAGCCTGCTCCGAATAGCATGACTTCTTTAACAGATGTCGACTGCTGACGGACAAACCTACAACACAAGGTTTCCGTATGGACAGGTTTTATGGTCGCCATCATGAACTCCTATCGGGAAATATGTAATTTTTTTGAGTGATATGAATGTCAATGTTTTCGATAATGTTCTTTGGTGAGCCTTGTGGTTATGTTGTCACTACCCGAGTTCTCTATGAATGGATGTGACATTACTTGGATTTGACCACGATTTACATGCCGGGTGTCGTAGATAAAACAGAAGACGTTTAACCTTCCGAAACAGCTGGTCCTATTTTCCTTGTACTCTTTTCAAAGGGCATCCACGTAAATCTTTATTTTTATTCAAATTTTCCCAATTGTTTTTTTCGATGTTGAGTTCGAGTTATGATTTTGTTAACACTTCGGCATTATATAATGGGTTTTTTTATGATTATAACTTGAGTTTTATTTTTACCAATCTTCCCAAGGTTATGTAAAAATAATGAGTAAAATATTAATCAGAAACAATGTTTATCCGGCACAACATATCCTCTGATATATCTTTCAATGACCTATTCTGAACTATAAACAACTCTCCAATGCATTTACTCGTATCCTGTTGTAATTACATACATGCTAGGGTTTGAATCATTAAGGAGGCTCCACCCTTTCGCAATTTGCCAGCAGAACTCGATGAAAGTTTCACATAATGTTTATGTTACTATGTAGCGATGATTTTATGAAAATCTAAGCATTCCGATAAACTGGGGATTTTTTGTAAAAATTACCGAAAAAAATATTTTTTGTCAAATTCAACACTTTCACATTTTTTGAGCGTGTGTCAGTGTTTTTCCGTGAGTCAATTAATGTCTTTGTATCATAAGCTTTATTCCTGAAGTACGTGTGATTACTCGATATCGAGTATTGACATATCATCGTCACGCACGTGTACTATTGTTCAACCGGTGTTACTATAATTTACACTACGGTAATGGAATGCCCGATACGCAATACGGAAATGATGACACGAAAATACGACAAGAAAAACATGTGTATTACGAAGGGTGGGAAGTCCTTAATATGCGTTCGATCTTGAGAAAATTAAATGTCTCTTAACAGTATCTTATGTCTCTTGTCTGTATCAAACTGACATGTACTCTTACCTTCTTGATGTGATAGCATTTGGAACACATTGGCCCACCCAGTCCTCTTTCATGAAAGGAACCGTAATCAGGGCGAGGTGTTCCGACTGGCTGTGATAGTTATATATGTTGAATCAGAAGATTCCGAACATCCATATTTTTATAAAAAATATATATTTTTAGAATACAGCACATACATGTTTAATAAGTTATAATACCCTCACATGCTTGATATTGTGTTAAATACACGATCAATACACTAGGAAATATTCTTGACCTATCCTCCTCGTGCCGTCCTGACAACGCCTGTGCTTCGGTATCAATCCATTGCGTGCTCCTCAGTCAAGGTCAATTGGAACCCGATTACAACATTTCCTATGAAAAATGTCCGTAATTTGTTCGTATTCTCCTTGGTCTTTTTGATATCCTATATCAAAGGGTTTTTTAAAACCGTTGACATTATCTATTTCATAAAACCTGGTATTGTCATGCATGTTCATCTAAAGCGATTGAAGCTTGCATTTCCGGATTCCTATACCAGCCGGAAAACTCGCTTTCCTTACGTCCATACACATTTGGAATATCTAATATTATTAAATGCATTATTCAGAAAAAGGTGACAAATTACGTACAAACGTTTATTCTCTCTATGCGATGCCTTTATCTACTGTACGTCTAGATAGCGGTCCGGTATTGCATTATATCTGGATCGATACGACCTCATTTCACACATTTTTCCTATTTCTCATTATTTTTGTGTGTTCGTGTTGGTTTTTCAGTGGAATATTGGCCTATATTTTGTGTCACTTCCAGCACGTAGGGGATACAATGAACCTTACTCTGTGTATAATGGCTCCCCAGGGAGCTCGGGGGATCAACTCGCCATGGCCGACGACTTTATAATAGCCTGCAGATCTGGTATTGAATCGTGATGTAGTTTCTTAATGCTTTCTTTGGTCCACTTTCAAACAAGACCAATTAGCGTGTGTTTTCCATAAGAAAAATGTAAATATATATATGCTTTCACTGGAATACAAACGTTTCCAAATAAGGTCACGGCATTAGTAGGGATTGTTTAAGATAAGTATATCAATCGAATTGAAACAGAAGCATCGTATAGGAACGTTGAGAATAATGAAGCAAACGTTAAGACAATATAACTACATGTACTCCGAACTTCGTAAGACTAAACCCTTTACAGAGTATGACTACAGTTTTGGTTCTGCCTTGCTTTCTTATCTAAATTGGACACTTATTTTGATGAAGAAGACAAATCTGGTCGTGTGGCGTAGTCGATAGCGCACTCGCCTTTCTCCAAGACGTACAGGGATCCACCCCCCGTTCGGTCGTTAAAAGGTATTCACTTACCTGCCCGATTACGTGGGTTTTCTCCGGGTACTGCGGTTTCCTCCCACATTAAGAACCCCTGCGCGCTTCCATCCGTGCCAAAAAGAGAAAAGTTTAACAAATAAACTTGTTTCATAATTGTTTGTTAAATAAATAAAATTAACATTTTTTATTTTTTATTTTGAGAGTAGTTGTTCACAAAATGTAAGAGGACGTCCTGCCGTGGCCTTACTGTTAATAGAACGCTAAAAGCTATAAACTAAAACCTAAATCTATATATAATACATCTATTCCTTTTACAAATTAGTTTTACTTTTTGCTGTGTCGATTGCCCGCTCAGTGCCAATTCGCCGGTAACTGAGCATGGAGAGTGCCACCTCGATCCTACATGGTTGTATATGCATTCGGTTGATAATATTAATAATTTATTGGTTTTAAAAGATATAAACTATCTTTCACTTTCCAAAATCGCATATATCCTGGGTCTAATGAAATAGACATCATCACACGAGAAAAAAAAAATTGTTATATCTGTTGCTATTTTATATCGGCATAAAGAGTGTTGCTTTTTAGGCTCTGGAGAAAAATAATGCGTACACAAGATGGCCATAGATGTCAGTTATTGGTAAAATTCCACACGCTGATTTATGCTAGACACGATTTAAAACTCCTCTAGAACATAGAACAGACTTTTAGGGCTTAATATATCTGACTTCTTCCCCAAGGAGTTCCTAAAACTCCACATGTAGGTCGAGTTCGGCCATTATACGACCAAAAAAAGTACCATTAAAATCAGAAGCATCGCTTTAAGTTCCCAGACACAACAGGTCCAGCATTGACCCCGGCCGCGTGTATTATTTAAAAGGACGTAAACTGTCCAAGTCAATAACCGACCCTGTATATAAATATTTTGTAAGACTATCGTTCACGACTGTAGACATCACATCGACCCGACTGGCTCCTGCCCCGACAGGTTTAAGATTTAAACACTGTCGTCTCCTGATATTGGTCGAACCCTTCCGCCATATGATGTCCAAATAAGACCCATGCATGCTTACATCGGAACTGGTGCTTGACTGGCCATAGGCTTGAGACTGTTCTGTGATGCAACATCTATACTTGTCAAAAACAGTTTCTGTTTAATTATGACATAATGATAACCTGTTTTACATGTACATGTTATTTGTACTTCCGTATTTTACTCATTTCCCCCTGAAGATACATTTGAACTCTTCCAATTCAAAGGTTGGAATAGTTCATTATGATATTTTTAGGGGTGAATGAGTTAAAGATATACACAAAACACACACACTTGATTAGATCGCACCAATGCTCTTCTTTAACAGATACAGAGTATGATATGGTAAACATAAATAGCACTACACCATATAGCTGGTTCGTCTTTCTAGGACTTATCGATGACATTAGAGGCCAAAAAAGGAAATCTCAAAAACAGATGTTTCTCTTCTCTAAAACAACTGAAACTCATTTGCTGGATATCAGTATAAGCAAAACATGGTATTGATGGTAATTGTCTTGAGAATCCATTACATACGATACTATCACTCCTATAGAAACTATCGTCTTTGCGATAAAAACGACTAACGACCGCACGCTATCTTATGCAGTATATTTATATCCACTTTGATATATAAGTTTATATAGGTATTTAAGAATATAATCGCTAAAGTACAAATAGACGTTTTTGTTTCAAATTCGTCATGCGCATATTGACATTTCCCATCGTTTCTGAAAGGCGCTCAGTGATATCTTTTGCAAATATGACAATGAAATCCGCATGCGGTCTTGTCACGGCGGATGAAAAAGGAAAATTCCGACTGATTTGATAAATTTCTTTTGAAAAGCCAGCGATAACCGTATATTTATGAGTAATAGTTTCTTTATTCGAAAGCAACATGCAAAATTGGTAGCGTAGACGAGTTCTAAAATCCATTTAATCCGACTCTACCACGTTCTGTGACGTATTTAAGTTGATATTTGATATTAAATAAACTATGAACGTCGTTCCAATCTATAACAATTTTGTATGTAAATGTATTAGGCTTACATATTTATGGAAATTTTTATCAAAAATTACATGCTATACATTCATGTATACCCTTAAACCTGTATGTATCAGAGAAATGAATTCTTACAAATTATAGAGAATTTTATTAATTTTACATTCTACATATCTAAATGTACAAAGGCTGCTATCTGCGATCGGAAACTGAGCTAGGTAATTCTAACTAAAGTGCATTATATAGTACCTTTACATGCTGTTTCTGCTTTGATGGGGTAAACGTTTTATTGATAAAGGAGTTTGGGATTTAGATTTCAATTACAATGAACATCAGTTTTGTTGAGGAAAACGATTATTTAAGATGTAAATGCGATAGTGAGATGATGGATTTCTAACGTGATCAAATGTGACGCAACATACTGTGCCAACACGATGTATGTTCGGTCAAAATATCTGAGCGAGTGATTGTGGGGTCGAATTCACGACTGAGGGCGTCCTGTCCCACTGCACTGCCGTTTTTCCTATATATACAGTAATCTCCCTTTAACTTCCGGTTAGATATAACTGTAGCACATTCGGGCTACTAAACGTATGTTGACTAGTAGCAATCGATCACAGTAATAGTATAACAATCTAAAGGCAAGGGTTCGAATCCCGGTCTAGCCCGCTGATTTTTTTTTACATTTTTTTACACTATAATCGATTCTGTTTTGTTTATTTCCTCATTGTCTTTTATAAGGATCCTACATAGTATGGTTTTCTTTTTAGAAATGATTTGTCAAGGCTGAAGTCATGCCGGAAAAGCGGAAACAGTTTTCAATTCTTAGTTACAGTTTTTGTTACTTAGTTACAGTTTTTGTTACTTAGTTACAGTTTTTGGATGTGGCACGGGGATTCTTAAACGCCTGTTTACAACGCCCCAAGTTTACAGTTTCTCTTTTGTTTCTTAACCTAATTAGCGAACGTTGAAGAGGTCGCCACTGATCATGATATGCTCTTCTTTTCGTTTTCATCACCAGGGTGTATTTTAGAAAACATCTCATTGTATGATCAAGCATGATTTGGGACGAAATGAAATTTCGAACAAACAAACAAACAGACTAAAATGTTGTCCAGTTTTAGAGTATAGGTGAATGTTGAAGCAATTATCCAAAAAGGGACGATCCCCATTTTCATAAAAACCATTAACCAAAACATGAAACCCACTTACTACTAGTATAATGACTAATTGTTTCAATAATTCATTCTCAAACTTGATGGATTTTCCTGGATTCCGAAAAATATTGGATATTATTTTGTTTACAAAACTATTACATCACTAGGGTATATTCATTTCTGTTATCGCTGTTTGTATAGATGTTTTGCTGATAGTTGAAAAATAAAATATCGATTAAATTAGTTATACATCCCACAAAGAGGTCCAATTTCCAATATGTGTTTTATATCAAAGTTGAGTCTTCTTTATTGGATCACGTATTTATAACTTCCGGTTGTGATGAACAATAACTACGAATTATTAATCAATAAATAAGCTTATTTACATATATCATGATTGCGGATGTAAGTTTACCGTGTAACGTGCTACATCATTGGGAAACTTTTATCAAATTGTATACCAGATATATTTGATAAATGCATCAATTTGTATGGTATGATCGTTTAAACAGACATTACTTCTCATTTGGACCAGAATCGACCGGAAGTGATGCACAT